TTAAAGCAAAAGCAAGTTAACTAGAGAGAGAGTACAGGAGGTAGGGTGCTTGCCCTGCACATGCTGACCTGTGTTCAATCTACAGCATCCTATATAGTCTCCCAAAGCCCCACCCCTAGGAATGATCCCTGAGTGCAGAGCCAAGTAAGCCCTGGCCGAGAACTGTTGGGTGTGTCCCATACCCCACCCCCCCACAAAAAAAAGAACAAGTAACCTGATAAGCACTTTCAAAAACAGAATATACTGCAGGGGCCAATAAACAAATGATAAGACACACAACCTCAATAGTCATCATGAAAATGCAAACAGAAACAACAAAGAGATAATACTACACAAATTTCTACCACAGGTTGGCAAAAATCAACAGAACTGTGCCAAAGAATGAAGACATCGGGGCGGCCAGAGAGGGGGCTCAGTGAGCTATGGCACCTGCCGTGCATGCAGTCGGCCTGGGTCCGATGCCCAGAACTACAGGGCAACATTGCCAGGAGCCACCCTCAAGCGGGGAGTCAAGAAAAAGCCCAGGGCACTGCCTAGCAAGTCCCCCTCCGAAAAAAAATAGCATAGAACAGGAATAAAGACGCGGCTGAGCCACAGAGACTGTCGAACACTGTTAGAGGCAGGAACGCCACCAATGTCCACAGCAGTTCAGCAGGACCCACGGACTAAGCCTGGCACGTACCCCACGGCAATCGGGTGTACATGGATTCAAATGTAAGAGAAAACTCACAAGAGCATTGCCTGTAACCATCAAACACTGCAAAAAGTGTGGGATAGTAACCCTAAGTGTTGTAGGCTTCATTGGTGACTTGCCCCTCTTCCTCCCCTGCCCCCCACCAGAGAAACTTACAGTGCTCTTACGAGCACCCCTATCTTGAAGCCCCTCAGATGTGCGTTAACTATACTAACAGCTCAGCATTAAACAGGTTATTTTGACCATCTATCCCCTGAGTCCTCATCTCTTTGTTCCTCTGGTGGGGAGGCCCGGGGAGGTGGCTGTTGGCCACCATACAGCTGTTGGCGCAAGCATCGCCCCCCCTCCCCGCCCACTTTGAACTCACGGGCTAGCACCTTCAGCAGCAGACTGGGATTCTGTGATGCGACCCCACTGTATCATGTGACCACAACAGTGAAAAGACAGCCCCCAACACAGGGGGCGCTGACCATCCACCACAAAACAAGAGCACCGTGACACACAGGACTGCCCTGTTTCTAACAAAGTTCAGAAATAGGCTCTGCTAAACTCTATTTTTTCTTTTTTTTTTTTAATCTTTATTAGTGAAAAGAATGAGACCAGTTGTAGTTACTGGTTTTGGCATATCGAATACACAACGGATAGCTTGCCAGGCTCTTCCGTGCGGGCGGAATACTCTCGGTAGCTTGCCAGTCTTTCCGAGAGGGATAGAGGCTTTTGGGGCGACCTCTAATCACCCTTGTAGGTGTTACCATATTTGAACCCTATCAAATATGGTACGACAATTCCGGAAGATGGGTATTTAGTGTCTTATAAGCGGCCGCGCGGGTCCGCAAAGCATCCTGGAGTGTGGCGACGGCTGGGTAGTGGAGGTAGTGTCGATAGTGGAAGTCTGCCAGTGGGGTATTTATCTGGGTAGGGTGGGTGAAAAACCATGAGGTACAGTTGTAGACTTACAAATTTTTGTGCTTGGATTTTAATTATACAATGATCAAGTACCCATCCCTCCACCAGTGCCCATTTCCCATCACCACGGATCCCAGTATCCCCCCATCCCACCCTGCCTCTGTGGCAGGGCATTCCCTTTTGTTCTCTCTCTCCTTTTGGGTGCTGCGGTTTGCAAAAGAGGCATTGAGTGGCAATCATGTTCAGTCTATAGTCTATTCTCAGCACGCATCTCCCATCCTGGGCGGATCCTCCCAATACCCTTTATTTGGTGCTCCCTTCTCTATCTGAGCTGCCTTTTCCTCTAGCATGTGTGGCTGGCCTCCAAGCCATGGTAAACTCTATATTTTTTTTTTCAAGAAGACACACTTAAGGGGTGAAAATATAAGGAAAAACAAAGCCATGAATTTCATAAAAGTCGGGACGGTAATTACCTGTGGGAAAAGGGAAGGAAGAGCCCGTGGGTGCTGGTCAAAATCTACATCTAACATTCACAGGACCCAGGCAAGAATGCAAACAAGCAAACACATACCAGACGTCTCAGAATTTTAGAGATAGAAAACCAGCTCTCAAACTGACGAGTCTGTTCTCACCTTTTATCATGATAAACAGACCACTGAGAAGGACCTAAAGGCCAGACATGCTCTGAGATTGTAGGGACTCTTAAGAGAACTGGACAGGGAGAAGTGTCAGACAGGCACAGCTGACCGCGTGCCGCCCCCAGCTACCAGTCATCTCCTCCAGGCTCTCGGCCCAACGGTACCCGGCCCCTCATCACAGCAATGCTCCAGCCCCCTGCACAGCGTGCTGTCTTGGCCAAGACCCATGTCCATCCTTGGTAGGATGAGAATGGGAATGAGACTCCACCCTGCAAACAGGCTTGGGTCAGGGTGGGCCAAGAGTCCTGAGACCCAGGAGAACCCAAGCACGGTCAGGATGGCCAGTGTTCAGGTTCCAGTGGGAATGTGCCCGGCCTAGCTCCCTCTGTGGAAAGGGCACCATCCAAAGAGGTCAGAGCAGGTCCCTCTCTAAGGGTCAACGGTCGAGGGGTCCTTTAGCTGAGATCAGTATTTCCCCAGCACCACCCAAGACTCATTCCTTCCCCTGGAGAGCAGTAAAATGGAAATGTACTTTCATGATCCTCTGTTAAAATCACAGGTTATTCTATTGTGTAGATGTACCAAAGTTTCTTTAACCAGTCATCTGTTCTAGGGCACTTGGGTTGTTTCCAGATTTTGGCTACTGTGAACAGTGCTGCAATGAACATACAGGTACAGAAGGGGGGTTATACCAGGGATATTGGTGGTGGGGAATGGGCACTGGTGGAGGAATGGGTGTTTGATCATTGTGTGATTGTAACCCAAACACGAAAGCTTGTAACTATCTCACAGTGATTCAATAAAATTGAAAAAAAAATCACAGATTATACTAAGACTTTATAATAGGCCTGTCAAGTTGACAGCTGGGAGGGAGGAAGGGAAGGGGTAGGGAGGGAATATGGGAACACTGGTGGGGGGAAGTTGACACTGGTATTGAAATAGTATATGCTTAAGACTAAACTACAAACAACTTTGTAAATGACAGTTCTTTAATAAAAATTAAATAAATTACAATATTTTAATTACAATTTTTTAAAAAATCAAAAATATTTTTAAAGAATCACAGGTTATTCAGATTTTTCCCCTAAAGTTTATCTTACTTCTCTTTACTCTTAGTAAATCTTATGCTTATAGGATTCATCTACCTTATGCAAATTTTAAAATGTATTAATGGAGAATTATTCATACTATTGTTCAATATATCTGGCAAACAACCAAAAAAGAAAGATATACATTCAAAGATTTATAATTTTCTGGAATTTCAGGGGCTTAGCCCTATTCATCTATGTGTGTGGGTGTCACCACTTCCATATTTTTTCTTAAGGAACTATCTCATTAAGTAGGATTATTAAAAAAGAGAAAACACGGTAAGGGAACAACAAACAGTCATCAGGTGAACTAGATTTTATCCACAGAACCGAGCTTGCATGGGGGGTTGGGAGGAAGGGATACTGGTGGAGGGAAAAGGCTCTCTGCTGATGGGTGTGGCATTGGAAGGATGGGTGAATGAAACGTATAATCAACAATATTGTAAATCCTGGTACCTCGGTAAAAATGATCGAAAAATAATAAAAAATAAAATAAGAAAATAAGGTGAAAAACCAATAGTACAGTGGGTAAGGCACTTGGTTTACCCACTTGGCTGATCTGGGTTCAATCCTTGGAACTCCATTTGGTCCCCTGAGCCTGCCAGGAGTGACCCCTGAGCACAGAGCCAGGAGTAAGCCCTGAGCACCGCTTGGTGTGGTCCAAAAACAAAACAAAACAAAAAGGGGGCTTCTTTCTGTTGATCCTTTCTTGATAGCTTTCAAATTTGGTTTTGTGGTGTTTTTTTTTTCCCCAGGAAACAGAGCCCCCCCTCCTTTTTTTTTTTTTTCTTGGTCACCAGGAGATACAGAGTTACAAAGCTGATCATGGTCAGTCAGTATTCCAACATCCATGCCTCCACCAGTGTACATTTCCTAGCACCAACACCAATGTCCCCTCTCGTCACCCTCTCTTTTATGGTAGGCACTTTCCTTCGCTCTGTCTCTGTCGCTGTCTCTTTCTCTTTCTCTGTCTCTCTCCCCTTTGAGGCATTATAGTTTGCAATATAGGTACTGAAAGGTTATCATGTCAAACTTGGTTTATATTCTTCCTCACCCCACCCAAATATTCATCTTAACTGGGGGAGGGGGGGGGGAGGAGAAGGAAAGGAAGGAATCCTACACTGCTGAAAGGGGAAACATTAGCATCTATAAAAATAAGGAAAAAAAAGTTTACCCTTAGATTTATCTGTGAAATCACAGTCGTTATCAAGTCAGACCAAAAATCACGTGACCCAATTAGTCCAAAAACTAAAAACAGAGAAGTATTTCCTTCAACTGGTTGCCAACTTTCTTGCCCAGCAGACACAAAATTCTCTGAATTAAACCCAAATAGCGCTCCCGCTCAGAGAGTTCCCTTCCCATTGTTTTGGAACCTAATTCTAAGTCTCCTCATTAGCAAGGTGACAATATTTCATAGTCAGCCGTGACATCTGTGAAAGACACAAAGCAAGACCCAGAGCTTCTAATGAGGAGAGCCATCCTTCAGGGGACGGCAGCGCCTCTTAACGCAGGCCGCCACCCTGCTTATTAGCCCACCCCTAGGAGGACCTGGGCCAGGAAAAAAAGAAAAAGGCAAGAAAGTCACTTAAACCTACTTCAAGATAAGTAACACTTTAGCCAGCATAGTCACAAAGTGTCCTGACAGACATGCCGAATCATAGTCAAGTGCAGTACCTGAAAGTGTGCCCCCGGTCCTCGGGTAGGTCACTTCCACACACACTTCGAACGTGGTCTCTGGATTTTGCCTATAAAGAAGAGAAAGAGGATGGTTACTGACAGGACCTGAATCAGCGTGAAGTCCAACCTGTGGGCTGTGGCACGGGGGCAGGTGTAAACCAGCAGCCCGACAGCTCGGTGGCTATGGAGTTTGGGACACGTCACACATTATGATTCTCTGAGCCTCGCCGTGCTCATCTCTCACACGAAAACCCACAAGTGCTGTGAGACTTCATCTGCACAAACCGTCCCAGGGCAGTGCTGCTTCCCACAGAACAGTCCGTCTTAGAATCCTGCACTTGTCGCATTTCTGACTTACACACATGGATCTCAAGAGCGGTGGGTAGAATTTCGAGGGAAGGCAAAACAAGGCAAGCCGAGCAGAAAGTATCCTTCACCTGCACTTTCCACGAGAAAAGATCCATAGAAAGAGGGCAGTTTGCTTCGCTGTAGGTTTTAAAGAAAGACTCTTCCAAGAGAAATGCCCTCTTATCTCCCCAGGCTACAGTGAAGATGGGAAGTACTAGCCTCAGTGCACGAGAAGGTTCCCACACACAGACAAGGTTCACCTGCGTTGGCAAACGCAAATATATATGTGTTCGTTGGTCACCGTCTTTTACCTTTATATTTCATACATATGCCAGACACTTTAAAAAGATCACCATACTAACAGAATGTTAACAGCTGTTACTTCTGAGAGATGGGAACTTTTGGGTTATGATATTTTAATTTTTTGTTTTTTCTCTCTCTCTGTCTCTCTCTCTGGGTCTAAAACTACAACTGAAAATATTTCTGGAGTCAGTGAGAATCCTTTAGCGGAAGAAAATACCATATTTTCAAACATCTATAACAACTCTATTTTAAACTTGACAACAGCATTCAGAGAAGCAGCCTTCGGAGCTGCCTATTCAGATCTGAGAGTTCATTTTACTTCGACCAAATGAATACCTTGGATTTGCTCTGTAGGGCTCTACCTTTTCATAATCACAATCTCCCTTCTCCCTCATTATAATCCTGTGAGGCGGGTGAAACGGGCATTCCCTTCCCTGTCCGGCTAGGAGCCGGCAACCAAGAGATGCCAAGCATCCTCTCTGAGACCCCACAGCTAGACAGGTACACAGCCAGACCAGAATTCACACCTCCTGTGATTCAATTTATGTTTCATTAGATTCTAAGATGAACTTCACACACACACACACACACACACACACATACACACACACACACACACACTTTTCACATCCTCTAAAATCTAGAGCATCTCACAACTTTAAGTGGCTGAATTTTTCCCCCTTTTCCAGAAATCCATAAAATAATACCGAATGTTATAAGAAATGGCATTTTAGACCCAATAAAATGTGATGATATGTGTCTTCTTCCTGAGGAATTGAAAGAAAACTGTGTATTTTGTCAAAGACCTACCTGCTTCTCTTGTAAAGGATCCTCATTTCTTCCCTAAAGAGAGACAAGCTCTTTAAATCAGTACCTTCAAAGAGTTGGCTGCTCTCAAGGTATAAAGTGTTTATACCTTGTCAAATTTAATCAGACTAAATCAGAATACTTTTCTTTAAAAAAAAAATGAAATAAGGGGCCAGAGAGATTGCAGAGCACTAAGGTACTCGCCTGTATGCAGCTGACTTGGGTACAATATCCACCACCATATACGGTCCCCAGGAGCACTGGCAGGGTGACTCTTGGGCACAGTCAGAACTGGCCCCTAAGAACCACTGAGTACAACCCAATACCCACCCCCAAAAAAGATGTTTTTTCACCCTGCAAGAACTCAGCACCCTGTGGATGCCAAATTGGAGAAAATACCAAAGGGAAATACCCCTTTCATGCAAATAATCTTAAAGGGTTTGAGGAAACAGAGGTCATCTGAAGAGCAACAGGAAGATTTCTTCAAAAACCTAAAACTCTTCCTTAATCCTGTTTTGCAACTGGCTGGATTTTTATCCCAGAATTCCATTGCTTGGGATTAAGATAATGGCTTTCCAAATCTGTCCGGTGACCCTAACATTCCAGGGAGGTTCTTCAGGGCTTCTGCTCGGCTTACACCCAAATGTCCACGTTTAACTTATTCTCACTCATTTGAAACCTTGAAATAATCAGCATGACCAGACAGAGGTGTTCAGACACCATAAGCTGCGACCCTAATTTAGTTTTGGGTAACCCTCTGATCTCTGCCTGGAAAATGGCCTCATCTCTTTTTCTCTCGTGAGCATGCTTCAGCCAGGCAGGTGAAGTCCCTAACACTACCTGTCACGCTCACCAACCACCTTGACTGGCCGAATGCCCACTCTCAGGGCCTCCCTTGCCCTTTCCACAGCTCCTGGTCAGCTGATAGATCTGTTTCCTTCAAACTCCTCTCCTCCTCCACGTGTCCCCCAGGCCCCCAGTGTCTCTGGGTATTCGTCCCACCCTCCTGGCTGCCACTCTGCGGGGTCACTCTCACAGGAGCTCTCCCACTCCCAACATGGTGCTAGGCCTCTCCCTGCCTGATTCATTATTCAAATAACTTCCCAGGTTTCAGGCTTTAATTGCCATGCAAATACTGGCAACCCCCAAACTCCTGTCTGACCTTTCGCCCTGACTAGGATCAATCTTTCCCCCAAATAAGTGATATGGATGCTATGGTGTGAGCTCACCTCCCCCCCCCTCCCCCCGCAGGGCTACTAGAATAGATGGAGTGAGGGGGGGGGTGGCGAGGGGGAAGTCAATAGTGGCCTCCAGTGCAACTGGGGGCCAGTCTCTGTTTACTTAAAGAAAACTATTTTGGGCTTGGGTGTTTGTTTTTGTTTTTAAGACGCACTAGGTTTTCTGAAAAGGAGACTGTAAGCCAAATAACCTTGGACAACTCTGCCTGGATTCCCTTATCTCCCTGCATATGTTACACTCCAACTACATGAGTATCAAGTAGCCAAGAAGCACTTCTAGTCTAACAACTAGTGCTTCTCCTCCTCAAACCTACATACATTTCCTGAAACTCACTAGTTATTAAGGGGGGGCGGGGGTGGAGAAATCCTGGTATAAACCCAGACTCCCCTTTGTTTTTACGCCACAATCATTCCCATGCTACGATCAGGTCACCAGCAATGCTCGCTCATCTCAGCATCCAAGGCTTCCCAGCACCGCCCAGCCCAGACACTGCATCTCCCGCTGCTCACTGACTGCAATACCTCCCCCTGCAGCACCAGGTGCTGCTCCCTGGCCCTCCGTGGTCACGTTTCCACTTAAACGTGAGGGTATTGCTTTCATCCCAAATCTTGAGTAACGTTAGGCTTCTGCCTACAACGATCCCAAAGCTTTCCAAATCCTCCAAGCCAAAACCAAAGTTTAACTCAAAGTATTATGCTACTTATGTATTTACTATGCATTTTAAAGTTCCAAAATAATTTGAATATTAAACTTTAAAACTGTAGAGGAAAAAGATCCATAAGGCCTTATACGACCTGTACTCTGCCCCTGTGTCCAGCTTTGCCCCGGGCTTCTCCCGCCGTGTCTACTGCCCTCTCCAGTTTCCATCCAGGCCTTCAGAGACGGTTCTCGGTCACCAAACACACGTGTCCCACGCACCCATGGTTTTTGAACTCACAGGACCCACAGAGCAGCGTTTCTCACTAGTACGTGGATATCAGTGATGGTGTGGGACTCGGGTTTAAGAACCACTAATCTAGTTGAATGAATGCCTTCTTCTAAATAATCCCGTGCATGCCACATAAGGTAAGCACAGCATTTACCTCTGTCATCCAATCATCCATCACCTGTCCAGTGCTTTTACCATCAGAGATTTAGACAAAAGGCATCTGCCACGAAGCTTACTCCTCCAACTGCTTTCCACAGCTACAGTCTCACTCTGAAGAGTGATGCTAAAGTTATCAAGGTTTCTTCCTAAATTCACATGGCTGCCAGTTCTGTGGCATGAAGCCAAAGTTTACAACAGTCTCTTACAAGAAAAAAAAAAAAAAGCCAAAGTTCACTAAAACACTGAGAAGAAACTAAGACTCTAATCGTAAGTTATAGCCACCTTATCCCGACAAGCTGCAGCATATCCCATTCCATACCAATAAACACACATCAGATATTTTAAGGGCCAGGAAGCCCGTGCAGCTGGAGCCACTTTCTATTTCTCTGCAAATCAAAAAATAAATAAATAAATTCAGAAGTGTTTTCTCCAAATGCAAATGGCCGAGTGACTCTTAATGGGTATTTTCATTAAGCCCATAAACAACTTCCAGACAATCTCGGGGGCTAGTTTGAGACTGCTTATTTTCTCATTACTCTGAAAAATGCTCACTCATTTTGACTACTCGAGTAAAGAACAGAAAGTCCTATTTCTGTCCTCTTAACACTCACAGCTCATTCAGAACCATCAGATGATGCCGAGAATACCAGACTTCAGTCCAATTTTCCAATACAGACCAGAGCACTTTATACATCATATTTTTGCTTGGCGGCAGGGGGAGGGAGGGTGGGGGGAGGGGGAGGGCAGTCAACCAGGCATCAGGTGGTACTTAGGGGACCATGGGGTTCTGGGGTAGAACCTGAGGACCCTGATAAAATACATGACTCCAACCCTGAGTGATCGCCCTGGTTTTGTATCTCAGACCACATGTATGTCCTTGTTTCACCATGACATTCCTTTATTAATTAATTTTTGGACATTCCGTTATTAATTGTCATATACTTCCATTCATTCCTTTGTGACCTGGGAGCCCATCACTGGCCTGCCCCTCCTGCAGTCCTGCACTCTACGAACTAGGCCTAGAGAAGTACACAGAACTCTCAGGGGAAGCCAACTGCATCACTACCATGCTTGCTCCTGCCACAACTCGTTTCTTCTACACCAGACGTGATCATAAGCTCGACCACACTTCGACAGCCCTCGCAGGTAAGGAGTGCTATCCCTGTACAGAGATGAGATAGCTGAGACTCAGAGGTTCAAGCAGCAAAATCAACCCGAACCCATCAAAGACACTGAGCGTGGAACTAGTCTGACGAGTCAGCTGCTCCTCCACCCGGCACAGCC